AATAAGCTATGACCAAAAGTAAGAATTTCCCAATCCAACCATATGCTGACAATAATGGAGTACCAACTGTACCGAAATATACCCACAGAGATTATGAAAACAGGCTAAAGGATCTCTTTGTTTTCACATTCATTTGTGTCAACAGTTAAGTATAGACATATTACTTCTAATTTCAAAGAAACAAGTTACCAAAAAAAGATTGCTAGAACCTTTACTATACCATGCCTTACATTAAGGACCTCATTGAAAGGCTTACTATTTTATAAAAGAAGAAATCTCATCCGGAAAGTTGGTAGAATTATAAATGGAATCCAACACTGTGCACCCCAACTACCATATTACCAGAACATCTGTTTGTTGGAGTAGATGGCCAATCGAACTTAAATCCTTGGATCTAGTGTGCCTTCATTTTCCTCAGAACATGCATCTGCTTGCTATGTTTTTGCGTTCAGCATGGAGAAGGCCCGGTTTTCTTTTAGATTGCTTTCAAACTATGTTTACATAATTGAGGTCACACTGCACATGAAATTTCTGATGACATTCTGATCATTACATTATAAAAACATTTTAGCAGAAGCAGTTTGAAATGTGAAGGATATGGCAAAAAATGTACACATATAAGCTAAAAGTCCAGTTCAACTCACTAAGAACTGAGCACCTCTTTTATCTGGGTATCAAGAACAAGCCTCAAAAACTGGTGAGAACTGTAATATACTTGAAATAAAGTCCAAAACATAGCAAGTCTAAGCCAGTTTATGAAGGATGCTATTGTTGGTGTTTCTAAGTAAATCAAGAAATTACTTCTTTCTGTTAAAATCCTCACTTATGAACACCTGTAATCGTTTCACAGCCATATAACTATTTTTAAAATAGTAAATATCACATGAACCCAAGGTATTACCACATCAATTAATACTCTAAGAGTTGTATGTATTTTTTTCCAAGCAGAACATTTAGCAGGTATTCCAACTGGGTTAAAATACTTTCCCTCACAGAACAATTTAAAGTACAGTCTGTGACTCAGAAATAAAAAAGGCAGGGATTCCTGAAGACATTTCTCCAAAGTGCAAACATTCCCTAATAACTATGAGCTGCACGTTTCAGACTAGTGAGAGGCTATCCAGGAAAAGAGGCTCTCATCAAAGAAACATTTCCCACACCCCATTCAAAAAACTTGGCACTCCACAATTTAGCTCCTGAACTCTGGTCTAAATGCTGTTTTGGATGGCAAACAAGCCAAAGCCACTGTCCACTTGGAACTTGAGACAAGCTTACATAAGAAAGAAAATCCCGTTGGTGCTAAGTGCAATGAAGAAAATAAGGGGGCAATGGGATAAAGAATGGGGGAGGGGTACTACACAGCTGGCCATGGGAGACTTCTGCAGAGGTGGCATGTAAGACAAAACCCGAATATTAGGAAGGAACCAATCGGTTTTGAGGGAAGAGTGCTGGAGACACAGGGGTACCAAGTGTATCCCCTGACGCCCAGAGAGGGTCAGAACGTTCGAGGGACTAGAGGAGACCAGAGCGGATGAAGCCTGGTGTCCCAGTCTGCGTTCTGTTGCTGTTACAGAGAGACTAGGAAGTCCAAGAGCACAGTGCCAGCACCCACTCAGCTTCTGGCGGAAGGTACAACATGGTGAGAGGGCAAGAGCTCACTGGCTCAGGTCTCTCTTCCTCTTCCCACTAGGGGCCACACTCTGATGATGCTATCTAATCCTAATTACCTCTTGGGGAGTAAGTTTCCAACACATGACATGTGGAAGACTCAGTGAAACGACAGCATCTAGAGCAGGCGTCCTCAAACTACGGCCTGGGGGCCACACGTGGCCTGCTTAGGTGCTTTGCCGTTGCTGCCTGTCCTGCTTAGCAGCCGACTTGTCCCGGGGCCCACAGTCCGGCCCTCCAACAGTCTCAGGGACAGTGAACTGGCCCCCTGTTTAAAAAGTCTGAGGACCCCTGATCTAGAGAGTGATGGGAGGAACATAACGTGAGAGATAGGCTAAAGCAAAAAAAAAAAAAAGCCTTAACCGCATGGAAAGCTGTTTGGATATATTTTTTTTTAATTTCAAATTAATATTAGGGTATAAATGAGTAGGTTACATGGTTTGCACTTGTCAGCTAAAGTCCAAGTTGTAGATGAGCCCTTAACTCAACTGTTTGGATTTTATTAGAATTGCAGGCTCGGCGCCTATAGCTCAACCGGCTAAGGCGCCAGCCACGTACACCTAAGGTGGCGGGTTCGAATCCCCAGCCCGGACCCGCCAAACAACAATGACGGCTGCAACCAAAAAATAGCCGGGCGTTGTGGCGGGCGCCTGTGGTCCCAGCTACTTGGGAGGCGGAGGCAGGAGACTCGCTTGAGCCCAGGAGATGGAGGTTGCTGTGAGCTGTAATGCCACGGCACTCTGCCCAGGGGGACAGCTTGAGGCTCTGTCTCAAAAAAAAAAAAAAAAAAAAAAAAAAAAAGAATTGCAATGGGAAGCCTCTGGAGAGCTTTAAAGCAGGACAGTGTTGTAATTTGTAATTAAAAGGATGATCCTGGGTAGGATGCGGAGAAGGGACAGCAGAAGCGCAGGAGTTTAAGTACAGTGGTCCATCCAAGAGAGGAGCAGCAGAAATGGTAATAACACTAGTTCCAGCATAACTACTAGCACCATCTACACTGGACAACTTACTTACCACTCACTGTCAGGCACTGTCCTAAGCACTTTGTACATACTAATTTGGTTAACTATTACATTTCATATATTAACAGTTCTATGAGGTATTTTAACTTCATTTAGCAGATGAGGAATCGGGGTCACAGATGCCAAGTTGCTCAAGGCAACCTGGCTCTCTTCCTAACCACTATGCTATTTAGGATACACCTTGGAGAAACAGTTGACAGGACTTGCTGATTGACTGGATGGGAGAAAACAAGAGTAACTTATAAGTTTTTGTCCTACATATTTGAATGTGTGGTAAGTCTGGCGGAGGGTTAACAGGTGGCACGGAGGTGGCTGAGGGCAGAGAGTGAGAACCAAATTGTAACTAGGAACCAAACTGCAGCTAGAACTATTCCCTGGTAGGAATATACATAGTACAAAGTTCCCAGTGACTTTTAACTGACCTAGAGTTCATTATCATATAATTAGCAAAGTTGGAGCTTCAAGGAGGATTCTAGGGAAGACACATGCGTAGAAGAATAAATTGTTATACAACTACCGTTTTATAACCTGTGATGTAATCTATCACACAATGCCCACCCATCAATCATTCTAAAGGGCAGGAAACAACAACCAATCCTGCCAGGAGAAAGGCGGGACAAACTAGTGAGCGGAACACAAAAGGCAGTGTGTGCTCAGACTCCAGTTCCTTCTCCACACATGGAGACTGACCTGTGCCTCACAATTTTTCAATTTGTCTCACTTTCTTCTTCACTTCTACTTTCTATAGCTTCTCTTTCTTTTCCCTGCAGTAAACTATGTGGAATGCTTTGTGTTTGTATCGCTGGTCACTGGCTCGACTCAGTAACAGCACTTCGTCTTGACACTAGGAGACCAGGGAACCTCCATGTGGACCTAACACTACTACCTGAAAGGGAGAAAGCTTAGGAAGAAAGAGGTCTGGGAAAGAAATCCCAAGCTCTGCTCGCATATTAGACAGCCAATTGTAGTTACTGAATAGGAAACTGGAAGTTCTAGTCTGGAGTTTAATGGTTAGGATAGAGATAGAGACAAAAATTCGCATGGCGAGTTACAAGTGGTATTTAAAGTCATAAAGCCAAAGGGGCTCTCTTAGGGATGAGATGGAGATGGATATGGGAAAGCGGCAGAGGAAGAGCCCTGAGACAACTCAACAGGCTGGTTCAGTAGGAGGAAATGCAGTGATTGCAGTCACTGAAGCTGCTTAGCTCAAATCCTGCTGAGAGACTGAGAGGTGATATGAGATAAGAGATAAAAAGCGGGCTTGGCACCTGTGGCCCAGCGGCTAGGGTGCTGGCCACGTACACTGGGACTCCCAGGTGCAAACCCAGTCCGGGCCTGCCAAACAATGACAATTCCAACAAAAAAATAGCCAGGTGTTGTGGCAGGTGCCTGTAGTCCCACCTACATGGGGGGCTGAGGCAAGAGAATTGCTTAAGCCTAAGAGTTGGAGTTGCTGTGAGCTGTGACAACACAGCACTCTACGGAGGGTGACATAGTGAGACTCTGTTTCCAAAACAAAACAAAACAAAACAAAAAAAAGAGAGAGAGACAAAAAGAGAACTGATTACTAGACTTACCAAGATGGAAGTTGCTGGTAATGTTGGGAAGAGTCATTTCACCAACCGAAGTAAGAAGGGGGTGGGTTGAGGAGAAACAGAAAGTACAGAAATGGAGAAATGGGATAACTGTAAGGGGCTCTTGAGAACAAGGCTTTCTGTTTGGTTACTTTAAAAATACCATTTAGGTAACCACCCCAAAGAGGTGGGAGTCAGTGGTATAGAAAACACGGTGACTTGAAGAGCCATGTCCTAGAGCAGACGGGGGAGCGGGACCCAGTGCGTAATAGGGGCAGGGGTACAGGTGTGGGATGAAGACAGATGGGTTGTTTCTGTGTTTGATTGTGTCAAATAAAAAACAATCACACAGACAGACTGGTAAGGGAGTTGGTATTCAAAAGCAAGCCTGTCTAGATAGATCAACAGAACAGAATATACGAAAGTAAGTCCACATACACATAGTAGTTTATAATGTGTAATAAACATGGCACTCCAAATGGAAAGTGGGGGGAAGACAGAATAAGTGATGTGGGGACAACTGATGAGCCACCTGGAAGAAAATAAAGTTGCATCTATGTTCCTTACTTACACTAATAAAGTCTAAGTGGACCAAAGATTTAAATAACAAAATATAACTACAAAGGCACAGAAGAATTATTTTATAACCTTAAGAGCAGGGAAGGCCTAAGACTGTTACTTAAAACCTAGGTCATAAAATTACTCTGATAAATTTTATTACTTAAAAAAAAATTTCTGGCTCACTTTGGTAGCATAAATACTAAAATTGGAATGATACAGAGAAGATTAGCACAACCACTATACAAGGATGACATCCACGTTTGTGGAGCAATCTATATTTTTTATTCTGATTACCATATGTTATACATATCACAACATCAGTATATACTCCATAAATATGCAGATACTTTTGTCAACTAAAAAAACAAAATAACTTTTGTATGACAAAATCTTCTATAAGCAAAGTAAAAAAAATTAAAGATAAAAAGGGGAAAATATTTACAACTCATTTCACAGATAAGAGATAATTTCTCTACATAAAAAGAGTTCTATAAATAACATCAAAATAGGAAACTGGACAAAAAAATATGAATAGTCACAGAAAAGGGAATACAGATGATTCTGGATACACTCGACCTTACTGATAAGAGAAATACAAATAAGACTATATGGGGATGACAATGACTTATCCATCAGAATGATAACAATATGCGTGCAAGGATCTGCAAGCTACAGACCCCTGGGCATGTTTTTATATAACCTATGAGTTAAGAATGGTTTTTATATTTTTGAACGGTTGTAAACAAAATCAAGAAGAATATATGACAGAGAATTTAGTGGCCTGCAAGCCTATAATATTTACTGTTAGCCTTTTCCAGAAAGAAAAAGTTTGTCTATCCCCAAGAAAATTCTCCTTGGAACATTTTGGATTAGAGATGCTAAACCAGCAAGTATAATGCAAATATTCCCAAATCTAAAATATCTGATATCCAAAACACTTCTGGCCCCTATGTGCATTTCAGGTAAGAGATATACAACCTGTTTTAGGCTTTAGTTTAAACAAAAATATTGACTGGTAAAAGTTGTGAAAAGATGCTTTATTAATAAAGCATTCCCATATTCCACACTTTGAATAGTATATTAAAGGCTTATGATCAATTAAAGTTTGTTGATCTATTCTTTATAAATCACAAGTAGGTAGAAGCCAAATTAGTGGATCTCTCTCAAAACTGGAAAGTATTCTGCACAAACAAATCACATGACACTTCCTCTCTGCAATAAGAATATCTGCCCCCCCAAACTCCCCTGGAATTTATTATAAAATGAATAATTTTAGAAGAGTTGCAATATACTTGACAAAGAAAAGGAGATACACAATTGTATTTTGAAAGAGATTTAAAACTATTTTTTATTACCAGACCCAGACAATATGACAGGTGTATTTTCAAGACTATTTAGAGAACAAGTATCATCCATACGGGTGGAACATCCCTAATCTGAAAATCTGAAATCCAAAATGCTCCAAAATCTGCGACTTCCTCAACTCAACACTGACATTATGCCACAAGCAGAAAATTCCACGCCTGACCTCATGTGATGGGCCTCAATCAAGATGCAGATGCACAGTTTGTTCAGTGTCCCTGAGGTGAAAAAAGGTGCTTCCTGTCCTCTTCTGCTGCACAAATACCCAGATTTCCCCACCAAAGCATGCTCACAAAAGGTAACAAAATGATCCGATGTACACAAACTTTGTTGCACAGACACACTTACTAAAAATATTGCATAAAATTATCTTCAGCTGAGCTTGGTAGTGTGTGTCTGTAATCTCAGCTATTTGGGAAGCTGAAGCGAGTGGACTGCTTGAGCCCAGGAGTTCGAGACCAGCCTCAGCAACATATTGAGACTTTGTCAGTAAAAAATAAAATAAGGCTCATTGCCTGTAGCTCAGCAGCTAGAGTGCCAGCCACATTCACTGGAGCTGGCCGGTTTGAACCCAGCCCAGGCCTGCCAAACAACAATGACAACTACAACCAAAAAATAGCCAAGCACTGTGGCCGGCGCTTGTGGTCCCAGCTACTTTGGAGGCTGAGGCAAGAGAATCGCTTAAGCCCAAGAGTTGGAGGTTGCTATGACTTCTGACACCACTACACTCTCCCAAGGGTGACATAGTAAGACTGAGTCTCAAAAAAAAAAAAAAAAGTATACTCAATTTGTACTATTTAACGTTCAGAGCATACAGAAAGCTTCCGTATTGTTTTTAGACAGCTAGCCTAACAGTGATGCCGAGTTCTAACAAAGATACAGGAAAAGAAGATTGACATATTACATGAATATGAGCCAAAAATCTCTAAATGAAAAATGTTAACAGAATCTAGTATATTAAAAGAATAAACCAGGCTTGGCGCCTGTAGCTCAAGTGGCTAGGGGGCCAGCCACATACTCCAGAGCTGGCAGGTTGGAATCCAGCCCAGGCCCAACAAACAACGACAACTACAACCAAAAAACAGCCAGGCGTTATGGCTGGCGCCTGTAGTCCCGGCTACTTGGGAGGCTGAGGCAAGAGAAATGCTTAAGCCCAAGAGTTGGAGGTTGCCAGGAGCTGTGGTGTCATAGCACTCTATCCAGGGCAACTTAGTGAGACGCTGCTTCGAAGAAAAAAAAAAAAAAAAAAGAATAAACCAAATTGATCAGGTGGGATTCAGTCAGATATGCAAGAATGGCTTAATATTTTAGAAAGTCAATATAATTCCTGATATTAATGGATAAAAAAAAATCCTAAGATTATCTCTACAGGTTATGGAATAGTATCTGACAAAATTCAAAGTCCACTGTTCATTAAAAAGTAGAAGTAGACTGGCATTCACTTACTTAATACACACAGAAACTGGCTACTTAAAACCCCAAACCATAAAAATGTGTTTAATGACAAAATAAAATCATCTCTATTCACACCAGGAATAAGATGAAGGCGTCACTATCATCACTCTCAGCACTGTTCTGGAAGCAGTACCTGATGACCAAGAGAAATAAGAAAGCCAATGATCATTATTCACCTATAATTTAATATCTAGAAAGGTCAAAGCAATCAACTTGACCTTATTAGCAATCAAAACTGCTACAAATAAGACATTTCAAAGGGCAATTATATAAACAATATTGTTTATATAATAAACAAGTTATATAATAAGTTAAACAATAAGTTTATATAATAAAATTAAGTTCTTTCCAAATAACTAGTTAGAATACATAACGAAAGAAAAGATCCAATTGGCTCGGCGCCTATAGCTCAACGGGCTAAGGCGCCAGCCAC